ACACTATACACTACTACACTATACACTACACTATACACTAAGTTGTCTATCTGTGTGTGTCCCTGTGTGTGTCTAACAGCGTAAGGACAAGCTAAAGGAGCACACTACACTATACACTACTACACTATACACTACTACACTATACACTACTACACTATACACTACTACACTATACACTACTACATTACTACACTATACACTACTACACTATACACTACTACACTATACACTACTACACTATACACTACTACACTGTACACTACACTACACTATACACTACACTATACACTACTACACTATACACTACTACACTATACACTACTACACTATACACTACTACACTATACACTACTACACTATACACTACACTATACACTACTACACTATACACTACTACACTATACACTACTACACTATACGCTACTACACTACTACACTACACTATACACTACTACACTACACTATACACTACTACACTACACTACACACTACTACACTATACACTACTACACTAAACACTATACACTACTACACTATACACTACTACACTATACACTACTACACTATACACTACTACACTATACACTACTACACTATACACTACTACACTATACACTACTACACTATACACTACTACACTATACACTACTACACTATACACTACTACACTATACACTACACTATACACTACTACACTATACACTACTACACTATACACTACTACACTATACACTACTACACTATACACTACTACACTATACACTACTACACTATACACTACTACACTACACTACTACACTAAGTTGTCTATCTATCTGTGTCTAACAGCGTAAGGACAAGCTAAAGGAGCACACTACACTATACACTACTACACTATACACTACACTATACACTACTACACTATACACTACTACACTACACTATACACTACTACACTATACACTACTACACTTTACACTACTACACTATACACTACTACACTATACACTACTACACTATACACTACTACACTATACACTACTACACTATACACTACTACACTACACTATACACTACTACACTATACACTACTACACTATACACTACCACACTATACACTAAGTTGTCTATCTATCTGTGTCTCTGTGTGTGTCTCTGTGTGTGTGTCTAACAGCGTAAGGACAAGCTAAAGGAGCACACTACACTATACACTACTACACTACACTATACACTACTACACTATACACTACTACACTATACACTACTACACTATACACTACTACACTATACACTACTACACTATACACTACTACACTATACACTACTACACTATACACTACTACACTATACACTACTACACTATACACTACTACACTATACACTACTACACTATACACTACTACACTATACACTACTACACTAAGTTGTCTATCTATCTGTGTCTATCTCTGTGTGTCTAACAGCATAAGGACAAGCTAAAGGAGCACACTACACTATACACTACTACACTATACACTACACTATACACTACTACACTATACACTACTACACTATACACTACTACACTACTACACTACACTATACACTACTACACTATACACTACTACACTTTACACTACTACACTATACACTACTACACTATACACTACTATACTATACACTACTACACTATACACTACTACACTATACACTACACTATACACTACTACACTATACACTACTACACTATACACTACTACACTATACACTACTACACTATACACTACACTATACACTACTACACTATACACTACTACACTATACACTACCACACTATACACTAAGTTGTCTATCTATCTGTGTCTCTGTGTATATCTCTGTGTGTCTAACAGCGTAAGGACAAGCTAAAGGAGCACACTACACTATACACTACTACACTAAGTTGTCTATCTATCTGTGTCTATCTCTGTGTGTCTA